TTGTCTTCGTACCCGGAATCTCAAATGGTGAAATGAAAAGAGAGCAAACAACCAATCATTCTGTCATCCATGCAAAACGCTAACATAAAGTCCTGAGCACACAGCGGGTAACACAGGTGTATGTGTTCAGTGGTACAGCTGCGCACTGGGCGTATCCTAACGACCCAGCATGTACCTTGCAGTTGCTCATCCTTCCGTGATTGAGATCGAAAGGATCGTCAAGGTCACTGTCTCAAATGAAACTTGAGGTCCCAGAGTACACATAAGTGACTCTTGGGGTACACAAAAATCGCATTTGAAAGGATTGTGTGTGGCGACATCTTCAGTAAATTGCGCACATCAACAGAGGGATTGTTGCCGGATAATTACGTATTACAGATCGTGTGGAATGTGTGACGTATTGGTTCTTTTTTGGCAGGAGGAATCTAAACAAAGAACTGCATAAGTGAGTGAGTTAAAAATTTACAACGCATCGGCATTATTTCAGTCAAAGCGACGAGACCGAGTATCAGACTGTGACAAGCAAGCTATGAGTTTAGTTTTACGCCGCTTTTAACAACATTCCAGCAATATCACGGCGGGGGACACGTTGTACCCATGAGGGAACTCGAACCCGGGTCTTCGGCGTGACGAGCGAACACTTTAACCACTAGGCTACCCTCCACCCCGATAAGCAAGAAGTTGAGTGGGGGTTCTCGGTTTACTATGAACCAGCGTGACGAGCCAACAACTTATCATCACCTATTCAGTGGTGAATGATGTAAGGTGAAATGGTGTTTGACGACGCTTTCAGCATATTTGCACTTATACTGTGAAGATTGGTCTGTCTCCCAATCCCTAGAGAATATATTTAGGAAGAATATCTTAACTCCTGGGACAAAATGTCAGTCTAATCGCATTGGCGCAATAAGAATTATGACAATAATTTTGTTAAAAACAAGCATTTTAAATATTTCGTGAATAGATGTATTGTGGAAATGATATCAAATTTCGCGTCCCGGCTTTAATTACCAGTGTAACCAATCAAATCAAGTCTGAAGAACAAGGCGGCGGCGTTGTTATACCGGAACGTCGGCATGGAGGACGTGCAACGTCGTCAAGGTGACTAACCATGGAAAATGACAGCAGTGTTTGAGGTAGTGTATGGGCGTTCAGCGTGCACCGTTAAACCTAAACCAGACAGAGGTTCACAGCAGGGATCGGTGTATTTTTTAAGAATGCTACAAAGAGTCTTTTGAAATAAGGATGTTTCAGTAGCTCGGTTCCGTGTAAGATGATTGAGTGCAGTCCTGAACGATACCCTGGTACGTTGTGTTTGTTCATCATATATCATTAGACTAACAACTAGGCTCATATTCTACAGAAAAAAGGTTCATAGTAAAAAAACGAAATATAATGAAAAGGAGCCCTGAGCCTGAAGCTGAGTAAATCTAGACTTGCCACATTTTCTAGACTTGCGTGGGCTTTCATGGATATATTTGCTTCAGGATCTGTATGGCAAACTACCTATATCATGTAAACATCAATTTGCCCTTTTTAATAATCTCAACAATAGCATTATATGATTACAGTACATGCGACGCGTTTCTCGCTGGTGCATCTTTATTTAACTATTTGTTTCTTTTACTTTTTAAACATTAATTTGTGATTTGGTCTTATTGTCCAATTCTGGTCAACGTGTCATTCAAAGGCCATAATGGTGAGACTTGTGGGTTCCCCAATATAGAATTATTTTTCTTTTACGCATACATGATTTTTAGGGAATTACATCCTAGTCTGACGATATCCGCCAGATCACGTGTTTTAAGTATAACAGTATTTTGGTACAATATCGTTAGCGACCAGTTAAGTTATTTTATGGAATGCAAGACCTTTAGATTTGTCTGTTTATTGTTTAACGCGTATTCACTCCAGCTGTATGACGGCGGCCTCTAAATAAGCAAGTATGAAACAGACAATCCAGTGATTGATAGTGTGAGCAAAGACCCCACGCCGTACAGATACAATGACATACAATCCGCCAAGCACCCGAACCAGAATACCTCATCTGTCGGTTGGTAGAGATATTGTTGTTGTTGCTGCTGCTACTGTTGTTGTTGATGATGATGATGATGATGATGTTCTTGTTGCTATGGTGGAGACATTATTAAACCTGTCAAAGAAACGGGCGCTAAAACGCCTAAACAATTTACTTTTACCGATATTTTTTAGAGAAGTTCTGACAGAAACGGACACTACTTTTTAGCGACAGTTTGTCTCCAATAGCAGCATATCTATATCAGCACACAACATAATGAGACGGCAGTGCCGTTGACAACGTCGCCGCCGGTGGTCAGAGGGCATCACATGGATTGACATGGTCATGTCTCCCGGCGCTTCCTATGGCCGGTGGTCAGAAATGACAGTGCAGAGCCGTGAATCAATAATTAGACAGTAGGCTTACTGTGTGCGGCAGTTACAAATAACTTGGTCTGTTCCCGGGGCAGCTAGCATTACGTGGTTGAAAATATGTGTGTTGCAAGGGGCGTATGTGTATTGCAAGGGGCGTATGTGTGTTGCAAGGGGCGTATGTGTGTTGCAAGGGGCATATGCGTGTTGCAAGTATGTTTGTTGCAAGGGGCGTATGCGTGTTGCAAGGGGCATATGCGTGTTGCAAGGGGCATATGCGTGTTGCAAGGGGCATATGTGTGTTGCAAGGGGCGTATGTGTGTTGCAAGGGGCGTATGCGTGTTGCAAGGGGCATATGCGTGTTGCAGGGGCATATGCGTGTTGCAAGGGGCGCGTATAGGGGCGTATGCGTGTTGCAGGGGCGTATGCGTGTTGCATATTAGTTTTTAAGTACACATTTCGACTAAACTATAAAAGAAGTGGCCAGGACCCCCAGTTATATTATCCCCAGTTCGTTATATCCGTTACAACGTTGTAGACGTATTCGTTATACACCAGTTATGGTTGGGATATTGATAGATTCACTTACGAATATAATGGACGAGTGAGTGAGTGAGGTGCTTGTGCCGCTCTTCAATGACGTGGACTGGAGTCTGGCTTCAAACATTGCATCCATATCGGGAATCGAACCCAGACTTTAACTTGTCGAGCGACCGTTTCCACCACCGGCCAGTTATGGAAGGACTTGATAGTGTCTGACGGCTTATAGAGGAAGAATGGATGAGTGAGTGAGGTGAGTGTGTGAGGTGAGTGAGTGAGTGAATATGGTTTTATCAGTTTTTATGATTTTTCCAGTAATAGTACGACAGGGACAACAAAATGGGCTTTACACATTGTAACCACGTGGGGAATCGAACCCAGGTCCTCGAAGTGAAGAAGGAACGCTATAACCACTAAAGTACCCTACAGCCCCGGAATAATGTTAGAACGTGCCATCGGATGGAGACATTTCAAGATAAAATAACGAAAGTAGTTCAACCTATCATTCGGATGTGACATAGCCTGTTATCCCTTTCAAAGGTTGAGTAGTATGTACACATGTATTTTGTTCAAAGATCCATGACGTAATATTAACTTAGCGAGGGCATGAGTGCAGGACCCAGTTCTTCAAAGCTATCTCCGCTCCAAGATGAACGAGGCGGTGGGGTAGCCTAGTGGTTAAAGCGTTCGCTCGTCACGCCGAAGACCTGGGTTCGATTCCCCATATGGGTACAATGTATGAAACCCATTTCTTGCGTCCCGGCTGTGATATTGCTGGAATATTGCTAAAAGCGGCGTAAAATTAAACTCACTCACTCCAAGATGAACTCCCCTACTTAAGCATAGACTTACGACCGCCGTAGCGTTAAGATCGCTTTGTGGGTGGAGCTGATTACATATATAACTGATACTGAATTAATATAGAAGAATGGTGCCTAGGTGCCATGTCCGGATTCAAACTAGCACAATAACTTTACCTAGTGTGATACTCCACGAGATGGGGATTGTAGGTGAACTTTGTGCAACCAGTTGGTTTCCACTGATGCCATTGCCTACATGGTGGGTTCTATATTCTGCTTTGTACCTGTCTAAGAGAAACAGCGATGGCTCGATGTGATTTACATTACCTCAGCCGTCAAAGACCGAATCAATCCGGAATCAATTTTCCATCCTTTAGACACAGAGATTCAATGATCTTTGGAAGCCATACAATTTGGACCGTTTACATTATCAAGTCCCCAACCATTGCTTTGTGTACCAGAAATCCCCCTAGGGAGTCCATCTACATGTTTAGATCAAAACAGAGTCAAGGCCTGCTATGGTATGGCACTGAATTCCATCCTTGTTGTAAACCCTACTTTTTAAAGCCCTGCTGCCACGTGTTCTGCACGTAAGGAAGAGATGGCGAAGTGCATTATGAGTCCGTAATGGCATTCATCGGTAAACAATCACTGCAGATGGAAATCGCTGGATCTGTAAAATCCGCGCACTCCATAATGGCTGCACGTCCACGAGTCACATAAATTCGTAGTTGTACAGAAAGGAAAATATACTGACGTATAAAAGAAAGTACACACCTGGTGCTCTGGAATGTATACAGGTGACAAACATTGTGTGCGTGTTGCCAAAACACCCCATGACCAATAAATCATAAAAGGACATGCACGCCACAGATCATATGAAATGGAGTTTTCTGTTGCGCGTGGAACACCTGCAGTCACACAAAGTTTGATAAACAGCAAGCTTGTTTATTTATGTTTATTGTTCAACGTATTCAGCAACATTCCAGCTATATGCGGTTTTAGCAACAAGAGCACGTCATTCATCGGGAGTTGTGAGTGAGTTTAGTTTTACGCCGCTTTTAGCTATGTTCCAGCAATATCACGGCGGGGAACACTAGAAACGGGCTTCACACATTGTACATATGTGGGGAATCGAACCTGGGTCTTCGGCATGACGAGGGAACGCTTTAACCATTACTCTACACACCGCCCTTTCATCGGGAGGAAAACAGACAGACAGAAATATTTTATTTAAGTGTCACCAGTCAGTTACATAAGAAATATATATACACATAATAAACATTCATGCTTAAAGAAAAAACTGACTTCCAGCCATAAATTGGCTTACGAGACACTAAACTATAAAAACTAAATTTATCGTAAAAGTACATTTTAAAATAGATTATTGCTGTTATGAAATAGGAAAATTTGATAAAATCAAAGTTTCGATACCGTAACAAACGGTGATCTCCTTTTGGACCCGAGCCTGTATTTGCTACTCAATAGTCAGTGTATGAAATAAGGCCCGTCCGACCGCCCGAGACGGGCTAGATTTCAGACGGACGGTCTAAATTTACAGCTAGCCAGCCCGATGATCTGGTAAAAGAATTAGATGTTATATACATCTGAGTCATATCTTGGTGTCTGGTCTGGTTAAATCCATTTTGGACTGGTAACATTTTGATGTTATCAGCCCTGATGTCTGGGGCTTGGGATTATTTCATACACTGTCAATTCCAGGGATAACATTTCCTTGTGCATTTTCCATTTGTATTGTGATGCATGGAGCACTTACCTTCACCAAAACACGCAACTATACGTAACTATAGTACAGTGAAAACAGCACAGTCATGACATAGGAAAAGACTACGGTGTTCAAAAACATGCAAATATGTATGCCATTTGCACAGGTTTTATATCTTTTATATTTATTGTTATTTATTTATTCACGTTTTGTCTATTCACTGGGTTAAGTACAAGTTGAAGTATTCAGAAAACCATGATATGCAGCAGCTACCTAGCTATTGTTTTCCGACACAGCAGATAGTTTTATAGTACAATATGTACTCATATTTCCCGTGGTCGATATTTCATTGTGCAGAGTAGACAAATATACTTCAATCACTATCCGTCTCCAGTCGTTACGTCAGTGGGAACGCTGTGTGTGATATCAGTTTACCATAGCATGTCAGTACCAGTGTGGGAAAATAATTAAGATAAATGTCAGAATGGTTATCAGATATTGTCTTTAGACGACTCGCGCAATAAACACACCAGACATGTGATAAACCATGGCTTTGATTTAGAACAGCGCGTTTACAACACTACGAATTTTTGTATTGATCTGCAAGTTCCAAATGTGTGCAGCCATCCTCGTGGGTGCTCATGTCGTGCTCATGTCGTCAACCACTGGTTAGTCAGTCCAACACCTGATATACAGGCCTCTGAGAAGGAACCTTTATTTGCTCTTGTAGACAGCAGTGTTGTCTGACCAACAGTTCTTTAACCGCATTAATCGCCCGTGTGCCTAGTCGTTTCTTCAATGTAAGAATCTAAATGGGGCAAGTTCTGATCTCCCAGCTCACTTGCACTCCTTTTCCAATTTAATGAGTGGTATGTTTCTATCAAAATTGTAATTTTCACGAACTTAGCTATGGTCTACCAACAGAGGAAATTCTACATATACATATCGTACCAACAAAATCAGCACATGCGTTATTGATTGTTTACTTGACACTACTGTATTGCGGAAAACCTTGTGCTTTATTTACTCGTACTCACCGTTTAATGAGTAGTGTTTAACGGACAGTTCTAGTTAATACAAACACTTTCTTCATTCACTCGATCAACAGAATGTTCGTGATATTACTCTTTTTTGACAATTATGTACAATAAATATTCCAGCCAGGAACGAATCTCAACATTATGATCTTACATTCTATACAGTTAGACTAGACAACAAAATTATAGTGCAACTATACAGCATCGTGATGTTAATTCTGCTGTTTATACAGGTTACCATGACAATGTCACTGTATACCGATACCGTATAATTCCTCCGTTGTTATTTTCAGACATTCCTGAATATTCAATAACTGAAACAAGCAGACCCTCGCCATTTACAGCACAGTCTGGTTCCACAAGGGCATTCACGACAAGGTACACATCCTGGTCAACATATGCTTGAAGGTACACATCCTGGTCAACATGTGCTTGAAGGTACACGTCCTGTTCAACATATGCTTGAAGGTACACGTCCTGTTCGACATATCCTTGAAGGTACACGTCCTGTTCAACATATGCTTGAAGGTACACGTCCTGTTGGACATATGCTTGAAGGTGCACATCCTGTTCAACATATGCTTGAAGGTGCACGTCCTGTTGAACATATGCTTGAAGGTGCACGTCCTGTTGAACATATGCTTGTAGGTACACGCCCTGTTGGGCATATGCTTGAAGGTACACGTCCTGTTCAACATATGCTTGAAGGTACACGTCCTGTTGGACATATGCTTGAAGGTGCACGTCCTGTTCAACATATGCTTGAAGGTGCACGTCCTGTTGAACATATGCTTGAAGGTACACGTCCTGTTGGACATATGCTTGAAGGTACACGTCCTGTTCAACATATGCTTGAAGGTACACGTCCTGTTCAACATATGCTTGAAGGTACACGTCCTGTTGGACATATGCTTGAAGGTATACGCCATGTTCAACACATGCTTGAATGTATACGCCATGTTCAACACATGCTTGAAGGTATACGCCATGTTCAACACATGCTTGAAGGTATACGCCATGTTCAACACATGCTTGAAGGTATACGCCATGTTCAACACATGCTTGAATGTATACGCCATGTTCAACACATGCTTGAAGGTATACGCCATGTTCAACACATGCTTGAATGTATACGCCATGTTCAACACATGCTTGAAGGTATACGCTATGTTCAACACATGCTTGAAGGTATACGCTATGTTCAACACATGCTTGAAGGTATACGCTATGTTCAACATATGGTGCAAGGTATACGCCATGTTCAACACATGCTTGAAGGTATACGCTATGTTCAACATATGGTGCAAGGTATACGCCATGTTCAACACATGCTTGAAGGTATACGCTATGTTCAACATATGGTGCAAGGTATACGCCATGTTCAACACATGCTTGAAGGTATACGCTATGTTCAACATATGGTGCAAGGTATACGCCATGTTCAACACATGCTTGAAGGTATACGCTATGTTCAACACATGCTTGAAGGTATACGCTATGTTCAACATATGGTGCAAGGTATACGCTATGTTCAACATATGGTGCAAGGTACAGGACATGTCATGTTGAATGTTCAGTTTAAGATACCCACAAGTTGAATATTCTCTTGCGATATATTATTAAATTCTAAATTCACACTATTTTGAAAATAGGTTTTCATGTCTAACATATGCTTTGAGGAACACGCATGCTGAAAACAATGTTTAATCGCGGCATATTTAGCTTTACATGCCTCGCTGAAATATGGTTCAAGATACATACCGTTTGGAACATACGGTTTTAGGTACACGTAATGTTTTACATACACTTGAAGGTACACATCATTTTCTACTAATGACTTAAAGTGCAAACGAGGTCGGACACAAGGTTAAAGATACACGCAGTAGACTATATACGGTTTAATGAATACGTTGTGTTGAACACTTGGTTTGAGGTACAAGCCATGTAGACAGTCGGTTTAAAAGGTACACGCCATGTTGGACTCTTGGTTTAAGAAACAAAGCATGTTGGGCACATGGTTTAAGGTACATGCCATGTTGAACACTTGGTTTACACTACATATCATGTTGAGCACATGGTTTACGCTGCATGTCATGTTGCTTCTCAGCTTCTGTAAAAGATCTAGGAGAATACTTACAATCAGACCTTTCAATGGAAAGACAAGTATCGAGATCTGTAAGTCCTGTTATTATCATATCCGGACCATCGGAAAAATACGCCACCTACTGACTGATGTTCTACAGCTGCCCTTGTTCGTTCCCTCTTTCTTTCCAGAATAGACTATACCTTGCTTTTAAACATCCCCCAAGAGCTCTTAAACTGTCTGCAACGCACAGAAAATATTGCTGCACGTATTGTGAGCAAAGCACCAAAGTTCTCAAGCATGACCCCCATTCTAAAACAGTTACACTGGTTGCCCATAAGGGCTAAATGAACTTTAAAGTTTTAACCCTTGTCTACCAGTGCATGCTAGGCACTGCTCCGGCCTATCTAAAAAAATTGTTCAAACCATATCTTCACGCTACATGTCATGTTGAACACTTGGTTTAGCTACATGTCATGTTCAACACTTGGTTTACGCTACATGCCGAGACATGGTTTAAGGTACACATAGTGTTGGAGACATGGTTTAGGATACACACAGTGTTGGAGACATGGTTTAAGGTACACACAGTGTTGGAGACATGGTTTAAGGTACACACAGTGTTGGAGACATGGTTTAAGGTACACACAGTGTTGGAGACATGGTTTAAGGTACACACAGTGTTGGAGAGACATGGTTTAAGGTACATGGTTTGGAAGGTACACACAGTGTTGGAGACATGGTTTAAGGTACACACAGTGTTGGAGACATGGTTTAAGGTACACACAGTGTTGGAGACATGGTTTAAGGTACACACAGTGTTGGAGACATGGTTTAAGGTACACACAGTGTTGGAGACATGGTTTAAGGTACACACAGTGTTGGAGACATGGTTTAAGGTACACACAGTGTTGGAGACATGGTTTAAGGTACACACAGTGTTGGAGACATGGTTTAAGGTACACACAGACATGTTGGAGACATGGTTTAAGGTACACACAATGTTGGAGACATGGTTTAAGGTACACACAGTGTTGGAGACATGACATGTTGTGGTTTAACACACAGTGTTGGAGACATGGTTTAAGGTACACACAGTGTTGGAGACATGGTTTAAGGTACACGCAGTGTTGGAGACATGGTTTAAGGTACAGACAGTGTTGGAGACATGGTTTAAGGTACACACAGTGTTGGAGACATGGTTTAAGGTACACACAGTGTTGGAGACATGGTTTAAGGTACACACAGTGTTGGAGACATGGTTTAGGGTACACACAGTGTTGGTGACATGGTTTAAGGTACACACAGTGTTGGACACGAGGTTATCAAATTGAGTTGATCCAACCAGAAACACTAACCACCAAACCTACCCAGCTGTGTAGATAAACAAATTATGGAGGCAGACCCCATTGTTCTAATACTGTTCACCATGATGCGGCTGGGCAATAATCTGTATGTTTTATATTTCTATGAACTATGAACTATGGAAGCCTCTCATTGACCTGTAGCGTCAGTAAGCTGCATTGATTCACGTCAGCCAGGGGCGGTTTGTCACCCTAAACAACACGGTGATTATCCCGACCCCAGGCTCCGGGCGAGAGGTAGAAGTGGGAGGGGCAATACCAACATGTCCAACATGCTCGTGGAGAGCGCTCTGACGCCATAAACACGTCAAAAATTAATGTCGCCCAAAGTATCTGACGGTATCGAAATGTCACGGAGATACGCTTCTGTCTGCATGACAAACCGAAATATCTCCACAGTGACTGAAAGGGGTGACATTCGAAATTTGACCTGCCAATAATGGATACGGGAATTGGTGTTTAGCTTCCCCGATCCAATTCGTATCGATTTCTATGATAGTGATGACGATAGCATGCA